TAATAAAAATAATAATTATAATACTAATAATAATAAGAATAATAATAATACTAATACTAATATTAATAGTATTAATAATAATAATAATACTAATAATAATAATAATAATAATAAATAGTCAGCTGACGATTTGTTTTTCTTCGTTGACTATTATTTCTTTTTGTTTGACTGCCTTTTATTATCCTTCCACAGTCCGCCTGTAGGAGGACATGCCCGACCTAAGCTTAGGTCATTGTTTGTTTCCCGAGGGGTGCATCGCGTCTTCTCGTCGCCACAGCCCCATCGCTTCCTCCCCTGCTTCCGAGCCCCCCTTCCCTTGGGCGTCCCTCAGTGTGGTGCGCCCCCCCCTCCGCCTCCTCCTCCTCTTCCTCCCTGCCTCCCTCCATCCCGCCCTCCCTCCCTCCCTGCCCTCCCTCCCTCCCTCCCTCCCCTCCCCTCCCCTCCTCCTCCGCCTCCTCCTCCCTCCTCCCCGCCCCGCGAGCCCCGTGGGGCCCAGACTCCAACCGCCCGTCGTCTTCCAGATGCGACGTGGACACGCAGCGCCTTGAAGCGTCAGAACGGGGGCCATCGACCCCGTTGAGCACAAGGTGTCCCGAGGGAGACGTCCCCTGGTCCACCGCCAGTGTCCATCGCCACCGCTTCGGAGTCGTGCCCTGAATATCTGGCCGCCCGCGTGGCAGATATCCATATCCATTGCTTCCCGAGTGCCAGGGGCACGACCATGCGGCGGTTGCGTGGACATGTTCTGGCGGTGCGCCTTGGAAAGGCCCCCGGGGAGCCGAAACTAGAGAGAAGATGCAGGACACCTCCCTCTGGCTTGTCTCTCCCCCCACCCGACAGGTAAGGCTTGTTAGATTTTAAGAACACACTTGCCGACACGCCCACCCTGCCTACCGCGGCCGCCAGATCTCGTCCCTTCCGACCCGGCCCGACCTTTGTGCATACCGCGGCCGCCAGATCCCCAGGTGCACCGATGATCCCCGAGATGCCCGCCCCGGTGAGCATGACAGAACATAACCAGGTGCACACAGCATAGCAGGACATACCATGACAGAGCAGAGCATCATGCTTGAGCGTGGCATTGAATACCGCATCATGCCAGCACAGCATCACATAGTATGGCATCCCATATCATGTCGATGCACGCTATGGCATAACAGGTCAAACATAACATGCCATACCATTACACAGCGTACCATTACATATTTGAGATCATACCATGGCATACCAGATAATGCCGTACCATGACGTAACACATTGAACCACACACACACATCGTCACATTCTATAGTACATTATAGCATGACCGCCATGCTCTGATTGAACGCGACATGCAAGATATTAAGACGTTATGCCATAGCATGGCACAACATGACATATCATGACACTGAATGCCAAAACAGGCATACCATATCACAATACCGGTACTCGCTGAGCATACCAATGCAATGCATGACAGAACGGGGCATACGAGATTCTACCATACCATGTCAAATCAGATGTGGTTTACTATTGCTACCACGACGGCAACGGACGGAACATAACATTAGGACGCATTTCATGATGGATAGCCATACCATAACAACACATATCATACAATGATGCAGTGAACATGGCGCACCATAACCAGCATAACATGTCATGCTCACCGTACCGCTGCCACCACTGCGGAAACGATAATTCTATCACACCATCTGCTAACACAGTGGAATAATGACATACTGGCCATACTACAGTTGAAACATCTTAACATAACATACGATAGCAATTTAACAATACTTAAGATACATATTATGGCACAGCTGAGTTTAAGATAGTGTACTTTTGTATGCTACAGTGACCACCACTGAACAGAAATATCATGATAACATCTTCGACCGTACCTTTCTATCCGCCTCCGCGCTTAAGGCGGCTGGTGTGCGGCGGGCCCTTTGGGACCTCCGACGAGGCATCGAGCCCAAAATGCCTTTTTTTCATGGCCCAGTCCGTACGTTTTGTGTTTTCCAGACCGAAAGTTGTACCAAATTGAAAGCGTCGGAGGGGGGGGTAATGGCGCTTCCCCCCTCCCGTCCAAGGCGCCCCGCCACCCCACCCCCTGCCCGCTTGCCCGAGCGCGGTGGCGGAATCGCGCGGCAGCGCCACTGGATAATCAGATGCGACGTGCGCGCCGAGATCAGGCTGGCCACGGGAACAAACAGGCACAGCAACGACCGATTGGACGACATATCTAAAGTGACAGGGGTCACGACGTCACGCCAGCCCGTCGAGAGCACAACAGAACACAATGTCGTATGTCATGCTCAAACATGATGGAGTATTATTCAGTTGACGAGAGTCAAATACAGCAGCGGCTGATTCATGACGCCCCGTCAAATGCAGCATACACGCCGGCGTAAGGATAGATACAGGACGAGCGGCAGGCGCAGCAACAACCGATTAGACGACATGTCAAACGTAACAGGCGTCACGACGTCAACCCGCACCCGTCGAGGGCAGAACAGAACAAACCAGATTTGCATATAACAGGGGAACCGAACATAATGTCACAGAGTATACCACAGTAGAGACCGAGCAATGCCGCCCTACCATACACGCGACATGCGTGCCGAGCCCATGCTATCCACAGAAGCAAGCAGTAGCCGCAACGACCGACTAGACGACAGCTCGAGCGCGGCAAGCGTCACGACGTCACGCTGGCCTGCCCAGAACAGACCATGACAGAACATTATATAATTCACCACGCTGGGGAGGCATGGTCCTAGCGAACATATTGTTGCACAATGTTTCCACAGCAGGCACCAATTCACGGCGTCCCATCACGACATATCTAACGCGACAGGCGTCAAACCGGTCCGTCGAGAATACAACCGAGCACACTACGCTATAATATTTCAAAGCTTGACGGAAGCCAGCATCGTTTATGATGTTTAATTTCAGCAGCGACAGATCCTGCCAAACGCAATACATTCGCCGACGTAAGGCTGACCACAGGACCAACACAGGCGCAGCAACGACATTTCACACGACATATCAGACGTGACAGGCGTCACGACGTCACCTTGGGCGAAAGCAGAACAATCCAAACCAGATGTGCAAATAGCAGAACCCAGCAGAACGTCACGAGGTACAGTATAGCAGTGACCAGGCAATGCAGCCATATCATTCGCGACGTGCGTGCTGAACCTAGGTTGGCCACAGAAGGTAGCGGTAGCAGCCACGACCGATTCGATTATTATCAAACGTGACAGGCGTCACGACGACTTGCGGGCCCGTCCAGAATATAACAAAGTGTCATTTGCTACACTTCACCCGAACCCCAACGAACATAATATAGAACAACGTGCGCGCCGAGGTCAGGCTGGTCGTCCAAAAGGCGCAGCAACGACCGATTGGAGGAATAATTCAACGCAACAGGCGTTACGACGTCACGCCAGTCCGTCCAGAACAGACCATGACATAACACCTCGTCATTTCATACACGGGCAGAATCCAAGCGAGCATAATGTCGTTTCTTCCTACTCCTCCAACTCTTTTTCCTCCTCCTCCTCCAACAGGTGCTGTTTCTCTCCGATCAAGTTTTGGGGCTTCGTTCACACCAAGCGTTGGGGGGCTTGGTTTTCCGCAGGGTTTGTTTCCGTGTCTTTCGTTCGAAGCGTTCTTCGTACAACAGTTTGGGGTTGTTGGATTGCAGGACAACGGTGATTTGTGATGTGGCCAGGCCGCCGCGGTTTTGCGCGCACCGTTCAAGCATAGTTCCAGGATCGTGATCTATGTCGCCCGCGGGGGTGCGACGGCTGCCGCGTTTCGTGCATCGCGGCGTGGGTGGGAGAGCTGCGCCCCTCCAGTCCGGGGAGGCCTCGCGATGGGGTTTCTCCGAAGGGCTTAGGCGACCCGTCCTCCTCCTCCTCCTCCTTTTCCTCCTCCTCCTCCTCCTTCATATCCTCCCCCCCCTCCCCATCCTCCTCCACCATCTCCTCCTCCTCCCCCTCCTCCCCCTCTTTCACCTCCTCCTCCTCCTTTTTGTTCCTCCTCCTCCTTCTCCTCCCTCCTCCTCCTCCTCCTCCTCCTCCTCCTCCTCCTCCTCCTCCTCCTCCTCCTCGGGTCGCCTACGGCCCCAGGGGACACCGTGCAGGGCGAAGATGACCGCGCACCGCGAGAGGGGCGGTGCGCGGCCCGCCGCCCGGGAGAGCCCACAGGCCCGGGGCGGGGCCAGGCCTGCCCCGCCAGCCCCGAGGCGTCGTCCCGTCAGCCCAAGAGGATGATATCGCAGGCCCATAGAGGTTGACACCGACACCAAGATCGGCGGTGCGCCTCCACCGAGGGAAGAAGATCCTGGTCTCGGTGATGGTGGTAAGATTCTGGCTTCCAAGGTGGCCGAAAGGTTACCACCAACACCAACACTGCAATCTACGATCATCTTCCTCCTGTGGGGGCAACCCCCCTGTGTTGGTGTTTGTGTCCTTTTCCAGGTCTCCAAGGATACACAGGGACGGCCAGACACAGCCAGTGCGACACAGCGTACACTCTCATCGCACGCCTCTCCACAGCCACTGCATGTGTGAATCCTCGGCTGGGCAGGGCTCCCAAACCCCTCGCGGCTCCTCTCACCAACGGGCCACCACGGAATCTGCGGTTAGACTCGGCTACAACATACGCACCGTGAGGGGCAGCCCTGTCGCACCGCCTCCACTCGCCAGCTCGGCCCGAGCTGACATACATGGGCGACGCGGAAGAAACGGTCGGAGGAGGAAAAGGTACCCATGCCTCTACCCCCCTCGCCCGTTCCCCCTTTTCTGGGGCCTCCTGGGAGGCCCTCGTCGTCACCGCTGGATTCGCCCGAAAACGTGGTCAGAACGCACCCTGGGAGAGGTCCACAGGGTAGCGGTATCGGTACTGTTTGGTTTCCCCAAACGGGGTCGACTACGCCGACACTCCGGCACACGATGCCCGCGTAAGGTCGCGCGGATACGCCCTCGTTTTCCAGCACAGCTTGCCGCGCT